GGGGCTTCCTGTTGTCTGGGGTTGATTATGTCCATGGGTAATATATCCTCCTTGTGTAAAAGACAGTAAATCATCCTTTAATGTATTTAACCCACTTTGAAATTTACTAATGTTTTTCCATTTGTACTTCTCACCATTGTTCCAGTTGCCACTGCTGTAATCTCTCTTCTTGTTTATTTTCTTTCTCCTCCAACCACTGCTGTATTCTCTCTTGTTTATTTTGCTGTACGAGCTGCCACTGTTGCAAGTTTTCTTGCCACTGCTGTCATCTCTTTTCTTGTTTATTTTCTCGTTCTTCTTGTTTATTTTGCTGTTCTTATATTGCTGCCATCAAATCTGTTAAGCTATAGTTTGATTTGCCACTTCTTGTTTCCATCTTCTTTTTTTTCTGTCCCACTCTCTGACACCAATTTGTTACGTAACTGCTTGTTTGTTAATTTTCGGTATAATTTCTTTCGAAGGAACTTCAGCGACACAAGTCCTTTCTTGATTAAACCAGTTTATTTTTTCTCGATTTACACTTTTAGTAATACACAAAATTTCCACAGTCACTTTAAACTTAACAACTTTTATAACACACACTATATATCACAGTGATCCACACACTTTACTTACGGTGCCTACTATACGCTTGAATTAATTATCTATCTCTTCAATCTATCTATATCTCTTCAATCATGCTGTTTTTTCTCGCCAGGCTTATATACTAAAAAAGAGGGTGCCTCGAACAAACACGGGCCTCTCCAATAATTCATGATCCTTCGAGAAACTCCAGCGCGTATGCTCCCAGCATCACGCAACTTCTGCTGTCGTAACATAACTGACTTGTCCCACAAATGAACAACTTATCTAGTAGTTTTGACTTAACTTGTCCTACAAATAAACAATTTATCCAGTTTTTTTCAAAAATCTAGCAAAGTTTATAAACAGAATGAGGGTTTATCTATGGGTTTTTCTTTATCTCCATTATTGTGTGATTTATTTACGGACAGTTTTGAAAGTGAAGCAATAGAAAAAACAGATAAAAAACCTGAATTTTGTTTAAGGTATGTGGATGACACATTTTTGATTTGGCTGTATGGTAAAGATGAATTAGCTAATTTTGCTAATTACCTGAATAACATTGATAGTTCTATAAAATTTAATTATGAAGTTGAAATAAATGGTTGTTTACCTTTTTTGGATGTTTTAAAAATAAAGATAAATTTGAAACTCCATTTATAGTAAACCTTTCTCTGTAATCATTGCGCCACATCAACAATCTTGTCACACTACATCTCAAAAAGCCTGTGTTTTTTACTTTTATGTGGATAGGATATTAAAATTATGTTGTAAACAGGATGATATCAATAATGAGTTATTGTTAATTAAGCACATAGCAGTGGAAAGAGGGTTTTAATCCAGATGTTGTTGACAGAGCTGTCATAAAACTAAAAAACA